TCATCTGCCGGGTATCAGCCCAGTTGCTAATTAAATCCAGATCCCGTTGTAGCCTCTCTGCTGCTAGATCAGTATCTGCTACACCACCCACCTACAGTAGGTGTCGTCAAATGTTGAATGTACTGAATTTGCACTTAGGATAGAGATACAGTTGTACTCCTTTTACATGAAATCCACACAGAAATCCAAAAACGGGGTTTTATTCAGCTAAACTGACAGACAAGAAATCACACGATAAAACAACATCAATGCAGCCGACCGAGGAGGCGACGAGGCCTCGGAGGGGGACCCGCAGGCAACCACCAAGCAGGAGCCAATGGACCCGCAGGTGCCCCCCGAGCCCCAGCCAAGGCGAGCGAGGGTGAGCGGGACCGGACCCCTGCATAGGTGTTCCCTTCCCTTTCAGGACACCGACAGGTGGGGACCTGGCCGGGATCCACCGCATTGGGGCGATGGTAGAGGGGTCAGTCCCATAGAGGGGTCCAGTGGGGCCATTCGGGAGGTCCCCGAGAGGTCCCACTCGAGCTCCTCCTCGAAGGAGTGATGGGAAGGAGTGATGGTCAGACAGTCTGGGATCTCCTCGGGGACTGGGACTGGTGTCATGGGAGCTAAGACGGCTGGAGCAGGAGGTGGAGGCAGAGGAACCTCGAGTGGAGCCAGGGCCAGAGCATCAGGCGCGGGCGGGACCTCGGGCGGAGCAGCAAGCGGAGGCGGGACCTCGGGCGGAGCAGCAGGTGCCTCAGGAACGGGCGAACAGGGACAAGCAGAGCAGGCACCTCAGGAATGGGCGGAGCAGGGACAGGTGGAGCAGGAGCCTCTGAGGGCAGTGATGCAGCCGCCAGGACTGGAGCCTCTGGAACAGGCAGGTCAGGCGGATCAGGAACAGTGAGGGGCAGAGCACCGACCGCCAGTGCAGGAACCGTGGGGGGGCGGAGCATCGTCCACCTGCGCAGGAATCTCTAGTTGTTTGGGAATCATGGAGGGCAGTGCAGGGGTTTGCGCCTTGGCAGTGGTCGTCGCCAATTTAGGGATCCTGGGGACCCTAAACCCCGGGCTCTGTGGTGCCCGGGGGTGCCGCTGCTCTGGGCCCCGGTCTGGATGGGCCTGGGTCTCCCGCTCTGGGTTGATTTTGGGGAACGGGGGTGCTTATGGGGGAGCTGGCTCCAGAGGGGGGGTACTTTGCCCCCCCCCGATCCTTTCCTCCCCATCTCTAAATGCTTCCCTCCTCCCGCTCCATCACACCAACACACATGTAGGGCTTTGAGGTGCAGGTGCGTCACTGGGATGCAGGGGGGGTATTCCTCCTCTGTCCCTTCGTGACCACCTGTGTCTCAATCATACATCACAACTTAGATACTCTCATTACTTACTCTCTCATGACACATACATTTAGGGCCTTAGAGGTGGGCACACAAAATGGCATCCGGAGGACGGTCTGTTTACTCAGCCTTACCTCTGGTGCCAGTGCCCACTTCTCAATTTTAAGTTGCACATAGACATTGAGGGTTCTGGGGAGGGGCCGAGCTGACACCAGCTGTTGATTGGCAGAGGGTGGTTAGCACCATGCCCTTCCCCTGTTTTAAAGCACTTTAGAACAACACGCGCCAACACCACATCTGAGCGGGTGAAGGGAAGCATGGGGTCTTTTCACACCCCCGTTCTCTGTCGCCATCTGGAGCCGGGGGCTGAGAAGAAGAGCTGGCCGTCCAGTCGGGGTCTTGGCTGGTGGGCTTCTCGGCTGCTGCGGGGTCCGGGGGGGGCTTTTTTGCCCCCCGCCAAAAAAAAAAAAAAAAAAAA